GGTTGTGTTCTCAATACGTTGCAGTTAAATGTTGTTATTCTACATTAAAATGGCGTTGGCATGATACCTTTGGAAGATGTTACATTTTGGTTACATAACAACACATCTTAAAGCTGACAAAATATCAGTGTCATCTGTCATCAGTATTCTGTGTCAAATTGCTGTTGGCATTAGACATTCTGATATAGAATTTTGGTCATATGACATCACAACCTTAATTCAACCTAATATCAGTGTCTAACAACACTGGTTGGGTAATCGGCATAATTTTCCATTGTACATTATTGTCCCATTGAGACGAAAATAGAAGCTAAGCAGGGTGTGCTTTAGGGTGTGGCTATCTAGTGATGACAAGTCACAACAACGGTGGTGCCCTTTGGTTCTCAGTCAATCCACCCCTCGCTCCTCCACAGCTCCACCCTCTGGTCCAAATACCAACACATCTGGCTGAATGCCTAACTTCAAAACAGTAATCCACAAACCAATGGGTGACATCTTGGTGGCTATGTCCACCTCTTACAGTCTAGGATTCCAATGATAGCATTGTGAGTACAGCAGGTATGATGTTTACCATCTCAGTTTTAAGTATCAGCATGCTAACATTTGCTTATTAGCACTGACTGAACACAAAATAAAGCTGAGGCTGATGGTAATGTCATTACTTTTCCAAGTATCTGGCCATAAACCAAAGTATTGGACCACCAAAATGAAAAGCCAGATGATAACCCATCCAGTGGTTGTTAAGCTATTTCATTCTGGACCAAAGCGGTGGACTGACATGCTGCTACAGAATGGCTAAAAACTAAGAGCTTCACTTTGTTTTCAGTGCAACCAACACTATAAAACTCAGCCTCCTTTGAAGTCATATAGAAAAGAAATCGACTGATGCATTGGTGGGAATTACTGTAGTGGCACCTCAATCAACTTCCCTTTGTTTCAGCAGTAATTCTGATGTGTCTATGGACGCTATGATATTCACAATGGAATGGCATCCTCTACTGAATCCCAGGAAAAATGAATACTGCCAAAACTTCAGAGACAAAAACCAGGAAACATTCTCCCGGGTCCACTTAACCACTACACTGCTCTCAATCATTCAGACACTCTTTAGGAGAAGAGCTGTCATACGTTCCATCATGTTCTCAACAGAAGCACCCTGAAAGAGCTAGAGTCATGAATAAATCATATATGTCCTCGCCTTTACTATTGGCACTCCATTAAGAGGAAATTGCATTTGTTTAATAACACACAGAGACAGTATTTTGATGTACACTTCAGCTGCTGGGCCGGTGTTGAGTTTGGCCTGAACAGGCTCCCAAATCCTGCCAAGGACCATAAAGCCAAGAGGTGACACTGGAGTTGGAGATGTGTGAAGAAAGATTTGATGGTGGAGATGCAGCGAAAGACAAAAAAACACTAATTAAACGTGCTCAAGTGGAGCCATGTGGAGAAGACAACCTACCGTCTTTATCACAAATAGCCAAATTACCTGAATGCTACAGAATATACCGCCTGCATACTAACAATAACATTAAATAAGCATTGGCAGAAGATGCGGATAAATCAAGAGGGACACACACTGACACTGCCTCCACGTTTGAATGTCCTCACTCCTGGGGGTCATTTACTCACGTTATTCAGCTCTTCAATTATTTATTGGTAAATTTAGTATCACTCCAGATCTCTCTTGGGGACAAAATTATACTCTCAGCGGGGAATCAAACCTCCAGCTATAATGGGTTTGGTATTCATCAGCACTCGCGTCAATGGCAATTAGGGACGTAATGGCTCCCAGGCCAAACACCCCCACACCACACAGTACTCTGGGCGGAGATGTTCAACAAGCTGAAGCTGTGTAGTTTAAGTGAATGCATGAGCATAGATCTTGTCAAAGTATCAACTGAACTATGGGTGCATTAGAGCTTGTGCAATGACAATAGGCCTTTTCAGGAACAGGCATATGGTTTTCTTGTTATAAGATGACACCGCTGTCATAAGCATGTGCTAGAAATGCCTCAGTAACCAAAAGGATGGCCATCTTGACTTTGAAGTAGACTGTAATTTCTAATCCCCTCCAGCTAAAGAAATGGTAATGTGCTGTTTGTGGGCTATCAGTTTCCAGCTAGCATACAGTGCCAGCTCCTTATTACCAAATAGGATGACAGTTTAATGAGCCCCTTGCTTGGTGTCAGCGACGCATTGTGAAATTGCGCCTGCTGCCATACTGTGTGCGCCCACTTGAGCATTCGAGCAAGCCGCACACCCAATCATTAACTTGCCGTCTCTACCCACATTTGTGACGTGTTTCTTACCTGATTCCCGTTCCTTTGTTTAGCCCAAGCATTTGCATGTAGCTGGTTTCCAAGCCCCCGTGTCCCCAAGAGATGCATTATTCTCTGTGAGGCATGCGGTGTGTTTAGGATACTGGGGTGAACTTGAATGTGTCTTTGCTGGTTGTCAGGGGGGAGATTAATGCTATCTCTGGCTGTTTAGCAAGTCAAGGTGTTCAGGACTGTATTCCAGCAACAAAAGTCAAACAGGTGACTGAGTTAAATGCACATAGGTGGAAGGAAAGGAACAATAATTTGCAAGTAAAATGAATTGGTTTCTACGGTAATAATATAAAATCATGGACCTTACATGAACAAAAAAGTCCATGCATGCATGACCGTATGCCACATAAACTCAATGAAACTCTGCCTGCCTGCAACAATGAAAGGGTGCCCCCTAGTGACAGCAGAGGGTGCATCCAAGACAAGACAATGGGTCGACAGTAATGGTGACACTGCATGGTCTACATAACAGTGTACGTTAGATAGCTGATTGCACGCCTTTGGGTTGCAGCAGAAGCCCGACCCAGAGCTTCAGTTTCTGGTCTTTCGCTACCTGCTTCAGCCTCGTCACTTCACTGTTCCCCTTCCCTCTCTGCGCTCCCGTCTCAGTGCCTCGGAGAGTGAAGTGACCTTTTTTTAGAAATCTTCCTGTGACTGATGGACTTGAGAGAGTAGCACTGCAGGTGGTGTCGTCAAAGTCCATTTATCTCTCTGCCAGTGCCAGGAGGCCAAACCAATCTAACCCCCCCTTCGCCCCCCCAAAAAGCGAGCCCTTTCTTTATGCAGCATTCAGATATCCTCTCGCTGGAGAGTGTGCGAGCGCTGAGACATCATGTCTGCACTGAGTAGCTCGGAGGTAATTGGCTACTTCACACAATCTAAAGCTCATTTCCCCTGCACACACCCCCACCACCACCACCACCCCTCCCCTTCCTCTTAACAACTGCCAATCCTGCTGGTAACTCATTTGATGCCGACTCCCCACTGACAGCAGATCACTTCTCCTTCATTTGGGAGAAAAGTCATTGTCCATTGATGTCCTCCCAGCGTGGAGCATCATCAAGAGAGGACTTCTCGTTCAAAGAGCTCTCATGATGCACGTCTGAATTGATATTTAAAAGGTGTATTCAAAGACAGAGAGAGGCACCCTTCAAAAAAATACAACAAACACTTTGCAGTCTCAGTGGGCAAGAAAACGTTTGTCGTGTGTTCGTTTTGATAATGGTGCAATTTTTTTCATTTAATATTTTTCCTGCGGGTGACCAAACACAGAGCTAAAAGTAGGGTGAATGGACTTACATTGACCAGCTGGCCAGAGACACCACTTCAAATGAATGATAATGTTGCCTTTGAATCCCTGGATGTGTAAACTACCCCCACCAATAAGTCAACTTAAAAGGTGGATGTGTCCGTGTTGTGTGTGCAGCTTGTTTCCACTGCCACCAAATGGCCTAAAAACTAGCTCATATAGGTTTAAAGGGGTTGTGTGCAGCATTCAGAGAACATCTAAGATTCACAGTCTAAGCCAGGACTGTTGGCGCACGGCTATCAACATGGAGGTGGCTGCAGCTAGCAGCTAATAATGCTAACAGCATGAACAGTGCTGACAATGGCAACAGTGCTGACTGAGCTAATGGTGTTAACATGCAGGAGGGGGGTTACGCTTTTGTGCCAGTGCAGAGCAAAAGCAATTAGCTAGCTAGTGGGATACACACACAAGGAGCCACATACACTAATGTTGTGTTCCATTTGCACTGGAAAGTCGCAGTTTCCAAGTTCCAGCTCAGAAATTCCAACTGGAACGCTGGATTTCCAACTTAGAAAGTCGGAAAAACCTTATCAACTCATCTATCGACCTCAAAATCCAAGATGGCTGTTCCGTACATCAACAATAAGTGAAAGCTATGGTACTATACTGTTTATTAGCACTTCTCTCTTATTCGTGTGTCATTAAAATGGTCGTACACACAGTTCTGTCCAACTTCTATCTATGGTCACGCTGCTATGGTGTTTGTGTGCGCAGAATACTGTATGAGGCGTATTTGTCAACTACGATTACTAGCAATGGCTAATCTGGGTAGTACTGGTATTGCTAACAACATGTTGGTTTTCCAACTTGTACTGGAACGCAGTCAACTTGGGTATGACGTAGTTCCCAGATCCAACTGACTCTCTCTGACTTCCGAGGTAAATGTAAGGCAGCAACATGCACATGTGGCTGGACCAATTACCACAACATAGAAAAGAGAAGCTCAGATTACAACACACACACAGGGAGTGTGACATCATTCTCTGCTCAGGATGTCATTGCTTCGCTATGTCTTCACATAGCAAATACTGGTTTGTTGCTATATTATTGCCCTGAATGTGGCATACCAAATCTTTAAAGGGGCAAAGACATAAATTATAGGTTGCCCCATAAATGGCTAGAAAGATAGCAAGGTCAAATACCAAAAAAACACGGCACTCATCTCTTTCAACATTACCATCACATTGCCAGATCCCTGTTAATAAAATTAGATTAACTCCAGTCATAAATTCTCATGTTATTATAAACTTGAATGAGATTCAGGTCTCGAGAGGAGATCCCATTGCCCACAGCAGCCCAGCTTCTCCTTGCGAATGAAAACAGTGTTATCCTGATGTCAGCTGGCCTCAGTGACTCACCGTGCTGGGCCTCCCTCTGCTCCAGCTCCTGCCTGAGCTGCTGCCGCTGCTCCTTCATCCTGGCTAGCTCCTGGCTGCTCCCCGAGCTGAGGCTGTGCAGCCTCTTAGCCAGAGCATCCAGTCGGTCCCGCTCCAGGTACACCGCCTTCATCTCAGCCTTCAGCTCCTTGGCACTGCTGAAGTCATTACCTGCACCGGCGCACCACAGGACATTAGGCTCACACCGCCCATTAATGAGCACCTCGATCATTAATAGCGTAATTAAGTGAGGCTAATGGTGGGCGATTCAAGTAAATGAGGTAAATAGAAGACGTGAAAGTGTAGGAAGGTTTGAGTTGGGGTGTGGTTGTGTGGAGTTACCTGAGATGGCCGCCAGCTTGGCTTCATGCAGAGCTAAAAGCTGAGTTTCAGTCTCGCTGACTTTCCTCCTCAGGCTGCTGCCCAGCCTCTGACTCATGACCACCTGGGGAAAAGAAGCAGAAGAAGAGGCTGAGGAGAGAGCGGGGGGGAGGGTGGTGGTAACTAAGAAAACCTTTGCAGACACATGGATCCCACAGGATGCATAGCTCATTTCCAATTCTGCTTTCATTTTCTTTTTTGACACTTATTCTTACAAGACCTTACAGATTCATTTCCGTCCTTCTGTGCCCGCCCTGCTTTGAATACACAGCAGAGCATCAACGCCCGATGTGTTACCTTGTCTATAACCTTTAGAATGAAAGAGAGTGTGTCTCCTTTCACGTGGATGGACAGGGAAATGTGAAATCTCCATAAAAGATGCCATTAGAATGTCAGAGAGGAAAAAGGCCCTGAATGTCACGGGGCCTGATGGGGATGCAGCACCTTAGCTCTGCTGTATTCACAGAGGAGTTGATGGCTTCAGATACAGCCTGTCTGGCCCCCATCTGCCCTCGCTCTGCCCTTTAAACCTCTGTTCTTTCCAATGTATTCACTTTGAGTAACAGCCAGATACAATACCCATGATGCGCCTCCTTCTTTTGAGGAACTATTTTCACCACTCAAAGGGATGTGGAGCCGGATTTTCTGACGCATTTTCTTCTTGAATCTGACACAGTTTTGTGCAACACTTTGAAAAGGCTGTCAAATAGGTTGGTATTTCTGAGGCAGAACATCTCTAGGGAGTTCTCTTCCCACAGAAATACAGAAAACTGTTTTTTCAAACAGGCTTGCATAATTTTATTTCATGCATTACACGAACTGGAAACAGCTCTGGAGTGCTTTTCAAACTGTAGAAATTCTGACATTGGTGATTTAATTTCCAAACATCAGGCTATTTGTCAATTTTGAAAAAGTCAGTAGAGAAAGTGAAAGTTACTTTCATGCCAGCAATCACTTTGTCACAGCAGGTGTGCCATTTTCCACAACGTGGATATCTGATTTAGGAACAAAACTTTTCATTTCAGCGGAACAATGGACAATCTTGTGATTGAGGTGTCTCTTCGTGAAAAGCCTACATCCCTTTGAGGTGCAGTTGAAGCTTCGATGAGCCATTTGATGATGGCTTTTCTAAAGGACAGTAAAGAGGACTTTTCTGAGCCCCCTGGCCCCTGCTGTGCCTCTCTCCCTCTATCCTTAAACCACCACTTCTTACAGTTTTTGCTGCTTCTGGCTTTTTCCAGCTGCACACATCTATGCATAGAGATCAGTGAGAGGGAAAAGCAAACCCATGAGAAGCAAGAGGAAACTCCAGAGACACAGCACATACAAAGCGAAGCATGCAAAGCCATTCACACGCAGGAATGCACCACTGAAAACCCACCAAAGCCAAGCTAGCTCAACAGATAGTTCACACAGTACACATACACCTGTAAAATCCACTGGCTGTAGCTGCTAAAAAGTAAAAATGAACACTTCTACAATTAAATAATCAATTAAAGTACTAATTCAGTTGCCTATTTCTCATCAGAAATTCTCCAAAAATCAGCAATTTGTATTTTTCTAGTGTTGTATTGTTTTATGGAGGATTATTAAGGGAGGATTTCTCAAAACGATAACTCTTACATGCAACTATGGACAGTTCACTGCCTTGTCAAATAAAAAGTGACATTTAGTATGCATATTTAATACACTGACGCTGGCATACAGTACATGCTTTCTAGTTTGACTTACAATCCATTAGCTATTCACACACATTCAGTCATCGTTGGCATGCTAAAGAGAGGCTGAGCTGTTGTGGACTAAATCCGGGCAGAGGAACAGTGACTTACTTTGGCGGTGGCTTCCTTGATGGACAGATTCAGTGCCTGCTCCTGCTCCTGGAGTCTGTAATAAAAGGAAATCAAAATGTTACAGTACAGAGCTAAAAGTAACTTCTTTTGGGGGCTAAAAGTAAAATCAATAGGTGTCAGTGACAGCAATAAAAGTCCACTGGTTTACTTTAATCTTCTAAACACAGAGTGGTTTACGACTATCAACAGGTATACTGAATATTTTCTATATTTCATAGAGGAATACCTTCAAAGATCTTGTTTAATAGATATGAGCAAAAGTGCAGGCACTAATTATTCACTAACATCCTTGCATCAACTGCAAAGACTTAAAGCAAAATCCTACAGATATCCGTAACCAGAATGAGAGGTTTACTTACTGTCTATTTGGGTATAAAAAAAATGACTTGAATATTGTGTGCAAACATGAAAGCATAAGGTCCGTGCTCTGACACCTTATGCTCCAGATTTTGCATTTGGAATCAAAACTTTAACCAGTGGATTTAAGTGCATTTTTGCTGGTACAGAAAATTACTGGCTCTGTCTAAAGGTAACAGCAGTTGCTGGATGTTGTTTTGTGTTTAACAAGCTGGTATGAAACTGGCATTGATCTTCTTATCAAACTCCCAGCATGAAAGAAAAGAAAACTATCCCTTTAATCAACTATCTATAAAATTCCTTTGCCATTGACCAGATTCAGTCGGTGGTGAAGTAACAGGTGCTAAGCACTGAGAAGTCCTGCCTGTCGTTCATCCTCTGTTCTAGTTTAGATGCCTGCTTAGTCTTAAAGATAATTATATGGAATTGCAAAATTCTTAAAATTAAGTTGATAAAAACCTGGGGAAAGCAGCGGAGCTCAAAACTAGGCTGTGAAATGATTTGTCGCAGTTTAAATCTGTATTTTCAAATTGACCTGTGGCAAAAGTGAGTGTCTTCTTATTGGTTCTGATAACTTCCCAAATGAAAACCTACATCAGCCGTGTGGACACCAATATGGAACCTTCCACTAGAAACCAGGGTGTAATATTTCATCAGAATCTGCACTTTGACTCACAAGCTTGACCTTCTTCCAACTCCACAACATCCCAAAAATCAATTCAATGCTATCACCTAAAGACCTAGAATACTAATCCATACCCTAATTTTTTCGCACCTAGATCAACCTCCAGGGCTGAAAAATGAAGCCGACATGGAAGTGCTAAAAACTGCAGTTCCTCTAATGGCCACTTGAGGCTTGCTCCAGAGATGAGTCAATCCCCATAGACCCCCATGTTAAAATACCAAACTTTACAGTAGAAATAAACATGTTTACAGCCTGGTATAAAAACAGTTTTGTCTCTATAGCTAATTTTAACGTTCATGACAACTGTACGGGGGTGAATTTTTATATAAACTCACCCGTTTACATTTTATTAAGGCTTCAGATTACACATAAATAAGGGCAGGCCGCTCTGAATGACAGGCTGTCTGCCGATAGTGTCCTCAGTCTCAGTTACAAACCAGTGCCACCCTCTTGTCCATACATGGTCCCTTCTGGCTCCAAAGATCCAAGATGACGAAAGCTAAAATGCCGAACAAAGCAAGTCCACAAACCAATGGCTGACGTCACAGTGGCTACATCCATTATTTTTATACAGTCCATGGTCTCAGCTGAGCAGCCACATCCTGCCTGCAGCTCGTGCACCAAGCTGCAGCCAGGCTGTTAACCAAATCCAACCACAGATCCTACATCACACCAATCCTCGCATCCCTTCATTAGCTCCCCGTAAAGTACAGAATAGACTTGAAGATACTGCTGAGCACATACAAGGCCCCACATGGTCTTGCTCCTTCATACATTTCTGAACTCTCACATCTTTATGCCACCTCTAGGCTACTCATAGCCAAGGTCTGTTACTGCTGTCAGAGCCCTATCCCTCTCTTAGATCTGCTGGGTCTGTAAACTGCTTCAAAAAACTTCTCAAAGCCCATGTTTTCATGCAGGGCTGTTATTCTGTCTTTGGTTATGTGTCCTTTCTGTTTATGGCCATATACGTTTCTTATTTTTCTGCATCTGTATCCTGTGAAGCACATTGAAACCTTGTTTAAAAGGTGCTATATTAATGAGATCTTAGTTACATACAATATTTAGTTTGCTGATTTTCTTATTGTTCTGACAATATTGGTTTTCATTGTACCCGTCCAGATGATCATTTCAGATGTCAGGATTAATTTTAGTAATGTTATTACTGGACGTGTATGTAAACAGGACAAACCATTGAGGTCACATTATTCTGTGACAGAGATATAAATCAATTAGTAGAGGGGAAAACAGTAGCATAAAATCCATTATACACAACACAGTCACCTTTAGATAGTCCCTATCGTCTGATATCACAAAAAGCAGTGTGCCCTTTCCATGTTATTCAAGCTGATGTTCAGGGTGAGTCAGACTAAAATGTTGTCTCTGAACATCAGTGTTACAGAACCTTTTTTTAAGGGATGCAGCTACTGTGAAAAGGGTGGATTTCTTAAATCCAGTACCCATAGGGAAAGAAATCTCGATATGGGAAAGAAATGTCCTGTGTTATTTGGAAAGGGAACTGCAAGCAACACAATCATCACGATGACCCGGAGCTCACCACCCACAGATGTGCAGCTGAATATCCAATCTGGGGTCGCAATTTCAATCAGCAGCAAGAATAAATGCGTTCCAGTTGGGGTGAGAATATGTCAGATATCAAATTATGCCTGTGATGGTGGGTCACGCCACGGAGAAGGCGATAAGTACAATTTACATGTCTTTCTAACGAGTGGCAAGACAGAGAGGCTTTCCACGGTGATCCGTCGCAAGCTATTAACTTCAGAGGATATGATGCAAAGCAATCATTTGCATCTGAGAAAAACCATTAAAATTCAAAGCAGGTTCAAGCAGGTGTGAGAGAAGAGGACTGGGAGCACAGGGGGATGCGACGAATAAGGAAACGTAGTTGTGGCTGCTTGATACATCCTCTCTGAACCTGAAAGTAAACAAATCATTCCTCGTGAAGTCTTACACAATTATTGCATTACATTACACTCAGTCGGTGACTCACAATAAGCGCTTCAAACCCTGCATAGGCACAAGAGCTGGATCTCATCAAAAACTGCACGTGCATCCAAAACTGTGTGCAATTTTATCTTTTTTTAATGTATGTAAAAACACTTCATCTGTATTTCTTTAATTGTCAAAGATCTTCCATGCTACTATATGAGATGTTAATTGGGTTGAAACATGATGGTGTGCTTTGGACTCAGTCGTACTTTCTTGGCACAGGACGAAACAGTCCTGCTGCAAGATTTATTCAAAACGCCACTTTGTTCGTCGGAGGACGAACGAAGCTGGGAGGCAAAGATTTAGTGAAATGGAGGATCTGCTCTGACACATCCTCCTCCAAACGAGCTAATTTAATGATAAGAAAATACGTGACTTGATACAGGGGAAACATTCAGGGACTGATGATTGTTGTGGTGTCACTACACACCCACAGCTCTCTAGCAGCCCCACCTGGTGACTGACAGAACTGCAGGAACTATGAAAACTACCTAAGGCATGATCAGAGGTGAGCAAATCTGAGTTTCCTGTCATGTACTGTCAAAATATCCCTCACCCGGACTGCGAGCATGTATATGAAGTTTATCTCATGTGCTTCATGTAATCCATATTGAGTAAAGGGCAAAAAACAATAATAAAAATCAATGACTGCAATATAAATCATACTACAAGTGCAACCTTCCAGCTGATCATATCACTTCTGAGTAAAGGCAATGCCTGTGATGGCCCAGTCTGCAAATTATTTCACAGATATGGTGTTCGGCAGTGTTCAGGCTCAGCCCAACCAAATCAATCAGGTGTAAAATGCAAATCTGTAATGTGTGAAGATGTCTCTTCACAGAACACTCCCAAGGCGCAATTTGACTTTTACATTTTTCACATACATTTGCACATTTTTCGCTGAAGCACACACACCTTCTGGACAGCAAAAGCCAGTAAAATATCCAGAGATGTTTTCTCATTTATGCACCTGAACATGTAAAAAAGACACGAGTAAGTATCCCCAAATTGAGTCCTGTGCCAGGGAACAGTAGGTTTGACTCGCGTATTACCCAGAGGTTTTTTAATAGAGACGAATATTTAATTTATAAAAACAAAAACAGACTAATCTAAAACTTTGGTATGAGACTTTTCTCAGCGAAAGCGTGCAGGTGGTTGTTACATAAGCATGTAATCAGGCACTTCACATGTTTTAAATTGTGCACCTGTGCATGCAACACTCAAGTAAACAAAATCATTTGGTGTAACATTCTGCATGTATGTGACGCTGACCTGAGCATGGAGGGTGAAGGAGACACGGAGATCTGCATGCGGTTTTCAGAGGTGATGAGGTCCTGCAGGGTTCGGCTCATATCGCGGAGCTGGGCAATGGTGCAGCTCTTCAGCACGGAGCCCTCCAGCTCCTCGGCCTCCACCTGCTGCTCCTCCTGCTGGATCTGCTGCTCCAGGAATCGACTGCGGTCCTTCAGCTCCGTCAGCCTCTGCTGCAGCTCTGCTATCTCCTCCTGCGCAGGTTTATAAATGTTTCTTGCATTAATTGTCAGTTACTCATCAGGTTAGTAATTGTCCTGTTCTCTATTGTGTTGGGCATGACATAGTGGTTGGGATTGGAAAAATAGCCTTTTTTGATCAAGCTAATCGTGATCCTGATGAATAAAATGAAATAGTACTTTAATAATCCACACCAGTACATATACCACTATAATCAAGTACTTAACCTGAACTTTACTTCACGAATTCTGGATTTACTATAAAGAGAGCTGCAAACATGAGCACAGCTGTTAGTCTTTCTATACATTTATCAGTTTTACATTACACACACGTGACACAAAGTGCCAGAAAAGAGCATTTAAGCTTTAATGCCATAATGTAACATGAATTTACCTCTACAAGCCGTCTCTCCTGGATCAGGCGATCTCTTCGATGCAGCGGACCCTGCAATGTGTCGGACACATCTGGCTCCAGACTCTCCCTGATGACCAGTCACAAAGAGACAGTCACTACAAAGGCCTCAATGTGGTTCTCACATCTTTAATCATGACTCCTCTAATTTTACACAACATGCAGTCACATTTCAGAGTCCTGTTCAGCCTCCTCAAGTCAAAGTGAGTTTATATGGGCAGTACATTGTGCAGTGGAACATTAATACTATGTACTACTACACCACATTAAAGCTTGTTTTAACCAATTTCTTAGTGCACTTTCTCCAAATCACTGAAATGGAGTGACTGACTTCATAACAGAGGTGACCTTGAATCTTTGGAGGCATATTTTTTCCTGAGTTTTAGCATTATAAAAACTCTGAGATGCAGGGATGTGTGACAAACACAGCTTTGTTGCATGAGCTTTCGGTTACATTTGTTCAGGATACCCTCTGGAGAGGCCCCACCTGACTACCTTCCTGTTCAAAGAGTTATTTTTGACACCCCTCTCTAACTGCTCTGTCCTACAGCATCATGATGGAAGATGATCATTATCATTATCACGGGACAAAGCTGTTAACTTAATTTAACCACATAAAGCTGTCAGAATGCAGATTTCACCAAGCGCTGAAACACCTGTTGACTTCAATAATACAAAGCCAGTTGGGATGTATAGCAACATTACGCTATTGCTAATAACCATGTAATAGTATTAGATTGTGATTAACATTATAAGGTTATTGGAATAAACAATGCTGTTGTCTAAATGAATAAGTACTGTCATAAAAATAAATTGGAAATGAAAAAGGAATCTTTTTTTGCAGGTGTTTACATAATGTAGCCAACACTGCTACATGTAGCTACATGCTAATGTGAGGGAAATTAAATCTTGGTTACTGATAATGTTCATTTCTCATTGATTTTGGCTCATGTTCCTGCTGAAACATGGCTGGTTGTGTTTAGAAGCTTTTACTGGTGATCTTTCATGGTAGAAAGTGCTGCTAATCTCCGATATATTATTTCCCAGATGCAAAGGTGGTGCAGACCCAAAAACGTTGACCAATCAGAGCAGCTTTTTTGGAATGGGGGCTTAAAACAGAGCACTTCAGACAGTGTGAATACAGGTGTTCCAGCACAGACAGTATGAGGAAAATATAGTGTTACTGGAACATTACAAGTCCAGTGTGTAAGATTTAGGGGGATTTTGTGGCAGCGAGCAGTGACAATTGCAAATTACAACCAGCTGAAACTTCTCTCAGTCAGAATTCCTTCAGTGTTCATTGTTAAGGAGGTTTTTATCGATCTTACCGCATTGTCCATAGAGATCTCTTCCTCTCCAGAACAAACAGAGCAGGGGATTTAAAACAATTAAATACAAAAAAGCAGTTTCACGTTATTCTGTTATTCTGTTTCTTCAACGCTCTCATTGCAAAGGGGCTGCAAACTATGGTGGCTAACACAAAAAATCGAATAGTCCTATCTAGAGCCAGTGTTTGGTTTGTTCATTCTGGGCTACTGTAGAAACATAGCAGTGCAACATGGGGATCTCCATGAACATGGGCCTGCTCCCTATGTAGATAAAAATGGCTCATTTTAAGGTAGAGAAAACACAATTCTTATTTTCAGGTGATTAGACACTGAAAAAAATATACTTATTATAGAAAAATAGAAAAAAAATTATCCTTCACTATCAAAACAGTAGCTTCCAGTTACTGATATTAATATTGACAATATAATATCATACATTAGCACGACATTAACATCAGAACATGATGTTCATTTCCAGCAGGGTGTGACCTCAGCAGAGTGTAGTGTAGTGTGTAAACTAATAATGCATCATTGTGTTGTGACTGACCTGCACTGACTGCAGTCTGCCCTCTGGAGGGCGCTGTGCACCACCTGCCTGAGCCGCTCCAGGAACTGAGCCACGCTGGGCTGTGTGGAGGGTAGACCCAACTTCAGAGCGCCTCGCTCCCTGCACAGCTCCTCCAGCTTTTTCCCAAAACGCTCAGCTGGTAACACACACACACACACACACACACACACACACACACACACACACACACACTGAATTACACGCATTAATATTTGCTTAAATGTTTTTAGCAACTAGATTCAAGTCAGACAGTCAATGTAGAAACTTGTTGTGACTGCAGAGATCTTTGTAGCCTACATTTACTGAAATAACATGTCTGCGCACACATTTATTCAATTACCAAATTATACCCTAACTAGAAGGCACTTGGAAAACAAACTTCTGTCAATACTCAACAATTCTCAGCTTGCTGTTTCCAAGAAGACATAATTCCTGTCATTTAAATCTTATGAATCCTTCATTTCTGGATATTGTAAACACCATAACCCTTCTGCTGGGTTAAGGGCTAATTTTAAAGATGATAACTATCTCAGGGTAAAACATCTAAACCGTCATCAGCAAGAAAATCTAATCAACTGTTATTTCTTGTAAAGAACATTTAATGGAAGGCTGTTTGTCATGCATCCTGCTGACAGAAAAACAGCAACAGCAAGTTAACGGGTGCAAAAAAACCTTCCCTGGAAAAAGTCAGAGAGGTTTGTGATGCACAGTATCAAAAGTCAAACAGAAAACCTGACAAGACACACTGACCCAAATAACCACTCCGCTTAAATAGTTCAAGGTCTAGAGCAGATGTTGGTATTTATTTCTGTCACAGGTTTCCAAGAAATGGGTCAGATTGAAGTCCTCCTTTGAAAATAAACTTTCCTCAGGCCAGCTAGAAAAATATTCTCTTTCTTCTGGAGACAGATTCAAAATAAAGTCCAGATTAAATTTGTTGGGTTTGAGGACTCCCTGGTTCTTTCCCATGCTGTCTTTAAAATTAATCTGAATTAGTGTTCACACAGCCCCAAAAGCCCCTGGTTTTCCTTGTAAATAAATGTGGAGTTTGTTTCAGCTTTGCCTGCTCTCTGTTGCTTGTTTCACAATGTCCAATTTTTAGTTTTACTTGGCTGATGGATCAGATGTGGTGAGCATGTTTAACTCTTCATCTTACAATACAGAAAAACCACTACTAAGGTCAGTGTCAACTCGAATTTAAAACTAAATATCAAAGCAAGAGGTATCATCTGTGCTAATCTCCTAGAAACAGACACTATGTGAAGAGCTCACATGACAGTCACTGGGGAGTTTCAGTAAAACTCGGCAGATATGGGGAACTCCCCATATCTGCCCTCATCTTAAACATCAAGCTGATAACTGTTTGGGTCCTGCCTGAACATGCCAGTGAAATTTACTGTATGTCCACTCAGTCTGTCTTCCCTGTTCACTGTCCTCTTTCCATTATACTAAATAAATTAAAAACAATGTTCTTGGGAGGATAAAATATTTTCATTTTAAAAAATATCAAAAGACATGCGTAGAACATGTCAGAAACTAAAGTTAGTTCAAGGTAAGCTCTCTACAGTCCATTCACAACTACAGTGCGTAGCAGCTGCAATGACCTACTTATTGAAGCAACGGATCAACTCAAAGTCTTAGTTCACCTGCGTCATAGTCGTCATCCAAAATGGCTTTCTGCTGGAGCCTCTGCAGCTTCAACATCATGGACTCAATCTGAGAGGGGAGACACAATAGACACAAGACAGAACAGATTACTTAACAGTCCAGAGGACGATGCTCTTTACACAGTCGCCAAAGGCCAAAAAAAGAAAAGTCTGGGTGCAATGACCATCATGTCAAAGTGATAGCCTGCTGGGTCAGCAAGTGGAGGACTGGGCATGTTTAAAACCTCGTCATCATTAGTCTACCAAACTAAATGTTTTTAAATTTGTCTGCCACAGACAATTTAAAGGGACAGTTCACCCCAAAATCAAAAATACGTATTTTTCCTCTTACCTGTAGTGCTGTTTATCAGTCTAGGTTGTTTTGATGTGAGTTGCTGAGTGTTGGAGATATCGGCTGTAGAGGTGTCTGCCTTCTCTCCAATATAATGGAACTAGATGGCACTCAGCTTGTGGTGCTCAAAGCGCCAAAAAAGACACTTGAAAACCTCAACAGCAATGTCTCTTTCCAGAAATCATGACTTGGTTACTTAAGATAATCCACAGACCTTGTTGTGAGCAGTTTCATGTAGGAACTATTTTCTTTCTACTGAACTACACCTGTCAGCTGTGTCACTACACAGGAGGAGGAGTGCATCTACTGCTAGCTCACCCAGCACCACTGAGCTAGCTGATGTTACAGCGCAGCCGAGGAGGACGCCATTTATGTTTACATCTCATACTGTCACGAGCATGAGCCTCTCATCCATGAGTAGATGTACGCTTCCTTCTGCATGGTGATACGGCTGGCAGGTGTAGTTCAATTGAGAGAAAATAGTTCCTACATGAAACTGCTCACAACAAGGTCTGTGGATTATCTTGAGTAACAGAGTCATGATTTCTGGAAAGAGACATTGCTGCTGAGTTTTTCAAATGTTTTTCTTTAACGCTTAGAGCACCACAAGCTGAGTGCCACCTCGTTAAATTATATTTAATAGAAGGCATCTCCATGGCCGAAATCTCCAGCACTATGCAACTTCAGCACTAAAACAATCCTCATTGATCAACAGCACTACAGGTAAGAGGAAAAATACGTAATTCAATAAAGGCACTTATGACAACAGCCCTGCATCCCATCCTCACATCAGGAGTCAATCATTCTCACCTTGGTGTGTGTGCGGTTGTTCTGGAGGCAGTCTTGCAGCACACCCTCGTACTTCTTCACCAGGTTGTCCCAGCCTTGGTCGGAAGCAGGCGTGGCACTCTCGTAGCCGGAGGTGACAGAAGAGGCGGACGCAGTGTCTGAGTCCACTGACAGTGAGGAGGTGATCTCTATGTCCAGAGATCGAGAGTCACCGTCAGGCAGGTCGGGCGTAACCTCCCTGTCACCCCACAGACAGTCCCGCCAAAACCCCCTGCCCAATGACAGCTCCTCTCTCTCTGCCTGGCTGCTTGGGGTGGAGGAGGGTGGTGATTGGATGGGAGTTGACTGTTTTGAGATGTTGTGCGTAATGGGTAAGGTTGCTGCTCTGGTTTTAGGTGAACTAGGTGCTTTAGTTGACTGATTCAGTGGTTCTGGTTCCCGGGTTGGTGTGGCAGTGGTTGTGTCTGTCCTCTGGCTGGACTTGAGAGACTGTTGGATGAAACTGAAGCTGGAGTTAAAGGAGTCCTCCGGTGAGGGCCTGGGGGCTGGGCTTGAGGTTAACCTGAGTTCATTCTGGGGTGGAGAACATGGACCCCGGAGGCTGGATGTACCATTAATGCTACTGCAGTCCACAGGGGGACGAGGACGAGTAACAGGGGAGTCAAAACTGTTACTCTTCCAGGTGCTACATGTAAGTTTATCAGGCCTTTGCTGAGTCATTAAGGACACTTTGACAGCAGGTGAATGACTCATCCTCTGAGCGCTGGTTCCCTCGGTGATGTCACTGTGACGTCCAGATTTTCCATTCCGAATGCAATTGGTCCTCCCTTCCTCCTCCTCTTCTTCCTCCTCCTCCTCCTGCCCATGAGTAGTCTGTAGTCTGGACTGCTCTCCTCTCATGTACCCTGGTCTCCGGTGGAGCCTCTTACGAGCGGAGCTGCCAGCTGTCCCTGATGCTCTGCCACCTGTCAATGCAGAGATTAACCATTAAGCTGGACAACAAGGTCATTAGGAAGATAAAGAGTGAGCTCATAGAACTGGCATGATTAACTATGCTATCATGGAGTATGTGTTGTAAATGTGCCACTTAAACAAGAATGTAAAACTTCATATTATAAGTATTGTGGATGGGATATAACCAAAGCAACTTTTCCCACCCCTCTGCCCTTAAAGCTAGCAGCGCTAACTGGATGAAAAACAACTTTGGCAGATGTGTGACATCTCCCAGAGTTCTGCCCCAGCTGTTGGGAAATACCAAAGCCACACAGTCATTTTGAGCTGAGACACGCCTCTCAGTGGAGGAGTGGGCTACATGAACAATACTTCCTGAAGTTACATTCGAATCGGTTTATTTTTGAAAACACAGCCATGTTGCCCTAAACCAGAAGTTCTCGCACTGTCAGGCAGGCCGTGCTGCAGAGGGCGGAGTGGAAGTAAAGCTGAATGAATATGATTCATGTTGGAACAAAAAACAAACAGAATTGCTGTTAGAAATATCCACTGAGACAACAAGAGGACAAGCTCTATTTTTGCAGCATGTTTCATGCATTTAATTGAGGTCGGACAGATCTCTGAGTGGGAAGAAAAGAAAAGGAAGCCTCAAAGCAAACACATCCTACAAAAGCCACTTGGGGCAATGGAACAAGCTTCAAACACAACACTGACATATAACTGTGTCAACAAGAAAGCTGATATAACTACAATATTAACAAACCTACACATCCAGCAGATACAGAGCAACATTAGCGTTCATTAAGAGCTATGTTGGTGTCTTCTTCATTAATCTCTTTTAGCTCTTGTCTGATTTCTACCAACTCTTTAAGGAAACATCTGGCTATTTAGCAACTGAAAGCTTCTTTGTGATCAGCAGCTTGTTGCTTACTGTGTCTGGTTGTTGTTTGGTTATGAGAACATGGTGTACAGTGGTGTCATCAGAGCTTTTTGTTGCTGAAAACAAGGCGGAGGAGAGCGGTGAGAATTGAGTCTAGGTGATAATTCTCTTTGGGATGACTCCTTTCACAAATGTAGAAGTAGTTATTATAATCTTTGTTATTAGATATTAGTGCAAATTTAAATATAAGATGGACAGAATTGTGATAAGGGAAGACAGGAAAAAACTAATAAAGCTAATCAAGCAGACGCAAATTTAAATTGCATTTGACATTTACAAAGTATATAGGAGTAAAAAAGCATGCAGTTCATGCAGTGGAGCTCCCAGAATTTTTTCAAGGGGGGGCCAGATGGGGCCACTGAACATCTTGAGGTGGCCCTATGTCAATATGATAATAATGCTGATATACTTTGGTGTCTTGTTTTACAGTTAATGTCACTAATTATCCAATGTGCATAGACTAGTGTGTTAGCCATTGTGCCAGTCTGATGAAGGCGCAGGTGAGATCGTATCCCTTTCAGAAGCTTTGTAATCCGGTGGTGCAGTGCAGTATCTTTTCCGAGTCTGTAAAATAAATCCATAAATATAAATCTGACAATGAATGTCTTGTGTGATTATTCATCCATTTTCCCATTTTGAAAACAGTTATTGTTGTTGTTAGCTGCCTGCTACGGTAAATGCACTGAAACTTGATTCTTGTAACTACTTGTATGTCCTCATACAAGTACCTGGGTATATGGATAGATGACAAGCTTTCATTTAATGTACATATTGCTACTCTAGTTAGGAAGCTTTAATTAAAGATGTTTTTTGTTTTAGAGGTAAAACCTGTTTTAATTTAAGTGCTAGGAAAAAACTTGTGGAAGCTACTTTTCTGTCTGTGATTGATTACGGTGAAATACTGTATATGCATGCAACCTCCTCCATTTTACGTAGCCTTGAGTCAGTGTACCATGATTCTCTACGTTTTTACAAATGCAAAGCCACTTACTCATCAGTGCATTCTTTATGATTTGGTGGGTTGGACGTCACTGACCACTTGCAGACAACAGCACTGGTATACCTTTATCTATAAAGCAATATTGGGCAAACTTCCTGCCCATGTGTGTCAGCTCTAGTTACCAGCTAAGCTCCTCCAAGTGGTTGCTTTTAATGTACCCCGGGATCTGGGGAAAACTGCATTCTCCAGTTATGCACCTTGGACATGGAACAACTTCAAAATGATTGAAAATTAGAAACACTATCCACTGACGAATTTAAGGGCATCATTTTCAATCTCAATGGGACTTCCTGGTCAAGTACAGGTTAAATGAAATAAAAAAAAAATGAAATACTAGCTATTAATAGATTTAAATCCCTTTATGAACTTTTGGCTATGGTCACCAGGGGGTTCAGTGAGCCCCCTGCACCAACGCAAACTGCGCCTGTGGTTCCACTGTTCCACAACAATCCTGTTTTAGTGTTATGTGTCTGTATTCACGTCATGTGTCCATTCAGTGTTCTTCAGATAGACTGGTTGTTGTTTTTCTCATAACGACAAATACACAGCTTTAAGTTTACTGGGAACAAGCCAATTCAAGATTAAAAACACCATGCACAGAGACCTCCAGTTGTTTTCCATTATTTTCACGAGGGGGGCCAGTGATTATATCAGGGTGGTGCCCCCTGCCTGGCCACCCCTTGGCAACAACACTGAGTTCATGTTCTTCATTATGTCCCAAATTTCCCTAATAATGTTACAGGATAAATAAAATGTTATAGGTTCATATGGGGGTTAAGTCTGTGACAGAAACAGTTTGCAAACCACTGCTGACAGCCAACCCCAGCAATGAGAAGTTGTAAAACATCAGTGTAAACAGTATTTGGTCTGAAAAGTGGAGGAGCGTGATAAAGACCGGTTTGTGTTCAGAGCTGGACACCTGCTGCAGCGCCACATGATTAATACATGTAATGTGTAGGATTCAGAGACGGAGACAGGCTGAAATGTTGGGAATCAACAGCCCCTTTGTGTACAGCTGTGCCACTCTCTTTTTCACTTCTGGCTCTCAATTTTCTCTTCCCACACACACACACACAAGACACACAGAGACACACTGACACATAGACTTTTGTGCTGAAAACACTGGGGGCATTCATACTACTGTCATTGTAAAACCCTGCTACACTTTTTCTTTAAAAAGCTTAATGACACAACAATACATCAGTAACAATCAAAGACATCTGTATCTATGAGGACACCATATCTTTTTTTAAATTCAAATTCAGAGCTGTATGTCAAGACAGGAATGCAGGATATCAAACAAACCATGACCACGACAAAGCAACCACAGCCTCCTGCTCAACCCCCCATAACCTCCAGTGATGTCACTCCTAAACCCTCTCATGTGACTGGAGAGGAAGAGACACAAAAAGACTCCACTTAAGGGAGACTTCTGCTGTCAGACTAATGTGAAGGCAGGACTCGTAGTGAGAGTAACAGAGGGGTGTTCCCATTGTACCCTGGCTGTGTATGTATGTGTGTGTGTGTGTGTGTGTAGGACCTCCTGTCCACTGGGACCACCGCACCAAAGCTCAGGTTACATACAGCTCCATTAGTGTTTCTTTGCAGACGTGGCCACTGTTCCATAACCAATTTAAGAAACTCTACACTCTCTGTAGGTACCAAACACAACCGTCTGCCATCTGGTGTGGTCAAGATATAACATGGAGCCCACTCCAGAGAGTCAAAGAGCTCAGGAGTTGAAAGGGGAAGGACTTGATGATAGAAAGTGTTACTGTATCCTCGTCATGCTTCGACTACACAAAGACAGCTCTTCTCTGTAAAGGGGAAGGAAATGCCTCAGGGCCCATTGTGTGTGTGTGTGTGTGTGTGTGTGAGTGTGTGTGTGTGTTGGGGGGTATCCACTTCTTGGTTGAAGCCCTTCAGAGGTATGTCATTTGCTGCTTCCTGCCAGGCTTTATGCTAAAACAGTTCGCCAAGAATTCCTGCACAAACGGCAAATAAGCAAAGGGAGACCTAAAGTGGTCCAACGCCAAGCGGCGAGTGATCCCACTGCAACAACAGCAGCTTTCTCACTGCAACTCATTGGTAATGTTGAAGAGTGTGGGAAAGCGAAGCGTCTCAGCCAGAAGAGGCCCGATTATTTACCTTTGCAGATTAAACAGGCCCTCCTCAGAGCCCTTAGGTTAAACACCGCATCCCATTGGCTGCTGAAAGTGCTTCGGCCAGAGAGCGGAGGAATGCAGAGGATCTCGTAAAAACACAAACGTTTGAGGAACAAGCTCAGCACCCTCAGACACACACACATACACACACCAGCTGATCTGCATGTCAGCAGCCTCCTGAGAAGCAGCACTGCTTGGCAGATGTGCAACACCTCGTCACTTGTGACCGACCACAGCAACAGAAATGGGGAAGTGAAAGTCACAGATGAGAGTTGAGAAGTGTGGTTTTTTCCCCGTTTGACCATAAATATGAAAAATGGTGACCTAGAAGTGAATCTATATGGGAAAATGCCCATAATGGCTGACGGAAACTGAACTATAATGTGTGACAATCCAGATTTGAACCTCTGCTCCGCTGAGACTTTCCTCACTTCCTGTATGGTCGCACGGGGATCATAAACCAGCTGAGTATGGTTGAGCTCAGTGGTGTGAACATGCAGCAGCCAAAAACTGAATACACTCCAAATAAACTAAAATTAGAACAACTAACCGCAACTAACAATTATTTTCATTATTAATTAATCTGCTAATTATTTTCGCAATTAATCGATTGCCGTTTTGTCAATAAAATGCAAGAATGGAGTGAAAAATTCTCTGTGTAAGCTCCCAGAGCCCAAAGTGAGGACTTTAACTGGTTTGTTTTATCTAATCACCAGTCCAAAAATCTAAACTTGTCAGTTTAGCATCATGTATGGCAAAGAAAAGCATCAATTATCACAATTGAGAAACATTAAACCCACAAATGTTCAGGATTTTTGCTAAAAGACAATAAAAAATACAATTATTGGATGATCAAAAGCGTTGCCGAATAATTTTCTGTCTATCAACTTATCGATTAATTGTCTAATTGTTGCCGCTGTACCTAAAATACTATTTAATTTGTTTATAGTGTGGGAAAAATGCTAATGTTGTTCAACTAACTGACATTTTGTCACCTTCGTCCACTAAACTGAATGAGTCATTTTCCTTTGAGATGGCCTTATTATCTGATGCTCCCTATGACTTGAAAATCTGATATGTGGATTCATTTAAAATGTCAGCAATATGTGAAAGTGTGTAAAAAGGCAGGTCTTTTCATTCAGATACTGAAGTGTCGCACACATACAATAGACTCTGAGTCAGCAGATTAACAGTTAATCTCACCAGCTGTTTACACTGTTTTGTATTGTCATTTTATAACATTTTAAAATGTACACATGGTTTTATGTAAGCATGGACACATTACTGGATGGGCCTGTGCCTGGCAGGGGCCCAAAGTGTAAGGGCCGCCCCCTGCCCTCATCTGCAAAATGTCCCTCAGATTAACACGTGCTGAACAGGAAGAGATTCAAAATGACCACAAAGTGATGCAAAGGAACTGCAAAGACACACAAAACAGCCACAAAGAGACGCAAAACCACAAAAAGATGCATTACGACCACAAAGAGGTGCAAAAACCCCCCACATTTTTGCATACCTGTGTCCAGAGGCCCATTGTCTGATACTCCACCCCTGTACATAAGTGTATGGATGTATTTGTAAATGTATTTGTATGACTATGAATGTATCGGTGCGCGTGTGTATATAGATATATTTTATATTTCTACGACATATAATCATGTGTGTTTTTTAAACTCTGCTTCTGTTCAGTTCTAAACTCAAACTTAAAACCTTATTGTAGAGTTTCAGTTTGCCCAGACTTGAATGAAGACGAAATAATGCATCCTAACAGAACCACAAATATGTCACTGACAACTCTGTATGCAAATATGCGAGACAGATAATAAACAAGGGCGTAGCATCACATGTCGCCACATATTCAGAGGGGAAAAAATCTTTCACAAGTATTTAGTCACTTTGCACTCATCACCACTGAGAGGTAGGGAGGCTCTGACCTCTCTGACCTGAATGTTGCAAAGAGTTGATATAGCAGACTCAGCAGTGGAAACAGCTGAAGGACTCAACACACAGAGTCTCCTTCAGTCAGTTTATTCAGTGACACTAAACATCACAGTGCAGAGAGCAGGTCTGGCTTTGGATACACACTTTCTGCTCACTGCACCCTCTACTGTTGCTGTTTTGATTTCTGCCTCTTTATTTTCCCATCACCACACATACCCCTTATTCTCTCCCTTGATCATTATATCTGAGTAAGTTAAGTAGTGTGATTGAGCTCTTGGTGAAATAGTCTTCATCACCATCATGGTCCCCACTGATGACTGTTAGAGAAACAGCAGTCAATAGTTTAACATTAAAATAGATGTGTCTTTACCTTCCATGACTTGGCGGTGGTGAAGCAGAGAGTTACTGTGACACTCCAGCCCCATCAGTCCAGCAAACATCTTTCCATCCACAACAAGCTGTCTGCGGGCAGAAGTCAGAGAGTGTCAGATCCCGGCAGCTCTACATGGAGCTGGAGCGACCATGTTTCAGAAGAAGCGGAGCCAGGCTATGGGACTGAGCTCATTTCCGCTGTGGAAAAGTGAACCCAGGCTGTTATTTTTTTCCACCGCTTCGGACTGACGTGTGAACCCGGCTTTTTACACGCGCTCCTTTGTCTGTAACAAACATTTCCTGACACAAGTATTGATACTTGAGATGGTTATATGTCTCCTCTGCGGTGAACAAGTAGCTCCAGCAGCGCGTCAACAGACGGTCCAAGTGAGAAAGATCTTCATGTGATGTTTCTTGTTTGGGAAAAAATAGAAAAACATCCGAAAACGAGCTGTAGGTTAGTTGTAGAAGTAATAAATATAAATCTGTGTCTCATCGATGAGTTGATCAGTAATCCGTTAGTCGCTGCGCCCCTGCGTCAGCCGTGCGTCGTGTTGGAGCAGCGCGAGGAGCTCCTACGTGTTCAGGAATTTGACTCCAGACTCCTTCAGACCGCCTCATGACCACAGCAGGCTGCAGCCTATGAATGCAGCGGCGGACACACCACCGAGCTAATACTGCTGTCTGTCTGTCTGTCTGTCTGTGTGCACGCTTTATTTGTTTTAGACCATTAGGACTGCAGCTGGTGGACAAAGAATATCAGCCTCAGCCAAAAAGCACCACCTCCAACTCTGCTAAAGTCACATAAACAATATCACAAGTTGAAATGCACAAACGCAGGATGTAACTATGGTCACCATTATTATTATTGTTGTGTTTTTAAGCATCTTTTTAAAGTGTAAGTGTAGTTTAGGCTTTCATATTTGAATTCAATAAACATTACACTGAAAAAAAAAAAAATTAGGGGAGACCGGGGTTGGTTGTCACAGTGCTTATTACAGCCACACTTGAGGGCGCTGTGACACAATAGCCCTGTTTCCCCCAAACACTTTCAGTATGGTACCTTTGGAGCCAAAAGTAACCCCTCAGACATGGTACCTAGACCACACAATTATAAACAGCGTCTGGAAGAAGATCAGCTCTGCATTCGAGCTATGATACCGTGCTTGTTGAGGTTGCTTAGCAACCTCGGATGCAACCTGCCACCATGCTCTTGAAAGCTGGCACAAAAAAGGCACAAAAGTAGCGTCCAGCGCCTGACCTCGCGTTTTCTAGGCGGTTAAAGGCAGCATGTGTAAGGCCCCTAAGGCAAGCTCAGGGGTTTAGTATTGCTGGAGCCCACAGGAACGGTGCTCCGCAACACTTTTTTATTTTCTCTAAGTGAGGATTAGAATATATGCAGCTCACATAACCTGGCCCATATATAAACGCTTGAAGATCCACTAATTACTAAAAATGTATGTCATATAAAACTAAAGACATGGTCAGAGTTTTTAAAGTGAAATTTAAGGTGTGCTGATGGATTCACCCACACCTGCTCTCTGCACTGTGATCATCAGCTCATGCATTGAGTAACATAACAACTAAACGTTTTACCTTAAAATTTGCCGGCAGTCAGCTCGGTGAATTCTTTTTCCCTGACTCCAGCTGCTGTGAGAGGTCGCAAAACGTCCTTTCATTTTATAGTGTAGTGTATTATCATTTGCTCTGAAGGTTTGGAGCAGATGACCAGTAAGGGGCCCAGGGTCAAAAACATATATGGTCAGGGTCAAAGAAGATATTTATGGCCCAGGGTTAAAGTTTGGTGAAGTCCAACTAGGGTGACCCTCTGTTGTCTGTTTGACTTTGTCTCACATTTCACAGAAACAGCGAGTCTATATAATGGGAGTAATTTGGGGCTGTTTTTCAGAGCAGTTCACATTGGCCGAGAACCTCTCCAAGCATTCTAGATGCTTGATAGATGCTGTATTTCTTGTAATAAACCTTTTCTTATGCAAGCAAGACAGTGTCATCGGAGTCTTCTTCATCACCTTCACATCATCGCTATTTAAGAAACAACAATAGTTACAGTCTATGAACAGAACTCTCCATTGTATGAACAGTGGTTACAAAAGCCTCAAACCAGCCACAACTCAGCCCTGAGCAGAGTGACCGTCCTCTATTGACCAATCAACAGACTGCAGTGTTCACAGCTCCAACTTTTAGTACCAGATCTGAGTGCTAGGTACCCCAACAGAGGGGGGACCAAAAATGGGGACGGTATGTAACGATTCTATTAGTACCATCCACAAGTTTTCACAGCAGAAAAAAGTGTACTGAACTGAACTGTACCATACCGTACTGCTCGTTGGAAACGGGCCTGTTGATATCAAACAGTTACCTGACATCCTGCTCATTTTGCACTGATCATTTTGTGAAACACACACAAAACATTGAGGCAAGGACATATTTTGTCAAAGCTTGCAGGTTATTAGTCATTTAAAAATCAAACTCTGATTAAAAAGTCAAAGATAATAGCTTTGTTTTGAGTCAACTTTTAGCTAGCAAGCTAAAGTCATGTGGTAACTAGCTTAAAATGTGTGTCAAGAGGTCACTTGGGGTTGGTTGTCAAACGGGTGACAGTTCACAAAGACAGTCAGCACAGTGAACATGTTATAGTCCATATGTTCATAGGTATTTTTGATTGCACGCACACACACACACACACACACACACACACACACACACAATGTTACTTTAGTTACTCATTAGAAAACAACATTGTAACTAAACAGTTACATACTTCCACCCAGGCTGTTCTGTAATAAAAGTTGTTACAATAGATTTTAGTGGGTCAAGTATAGATTTTATTTCACTCTATTCTCTGCACTGTTGATGCTATATCTAGGCAGATTATCCACATGTATTTTGTCCATTTAATATGTCACGCAGTTGTTTGTGTGCAAAAATGCACGTTATTTTTTGCGTATTTTTAGACACCCTTAACATCCTGATGTAAATACAAAAGAGTTCCTTTGTTTTTGCGGTGAGGGAATGAATGAGAAGAGACCCCACATAGAGCCGGGTCTTTTCATCCTCCTTCCCCACACATCCAAATGTTCCTTTCATTCAGCCTAGCTGGCTAATGGACAAGACTCTGTGATAAAGAGCTCAGTTCAGCTCACACAACAGAGTGCAGCCTTTATACTTAGCGAGGCTGTGGAGGGTGAGAGAGAGCTGCGTGGCAGAAGGGATGAAATCCTTTGCGACACACACTGTAGAGAGAGATCACCTGTCCAGTGTTAGAGGCTGGAAGCACTTAATGTCCTTTGGCAAATGAGTCAGCCAACTGCTTCTGTCTGTGATAAAAAACATCTGTTGAGGTTTTTTAAAGTTTGGAAAACCTGATAAACTGTTTCACAGCAGACATTTTTACCTGCAGTCTTGAAATAAACTGAAATGGGATTTTAAATATAAAATTAAATGGCACCCTATACTGGGCTTAACTCAACAACAGCAGCAAAAAAGGAAATTACTAAAAATCCAGAGGCTCCAAAAAACATGAAGAGATTTTTTTTTTCCACAGCAGACATTTTGGGATGTCATACCATGTAAAGCAAAGGTGTAACCGATGACATTAAAATGACTACATTCCATTTAAGTGAGCAAGTTTCAGGGTGCTGCTGTTGTGCATGCCGTCTCGCTGTTGTGGCCTATTGGGACATTTGACTGTACCATTGTTAATGAACTCAGTGTCACCTGTTCACCTAATGCTTAGCACTAACTAATCTGATATCCACCCTACCCATGTCTCAGGTTCAGCCTACTCTGTCTCTGTCTGATGCTACAGACCATTAAGAGAGCATTATCTCCACAGACATTTTGACTAGTACTTGGTGATGCACGGCTGTCACTAATAACATTAACAATGGCTTAATTCAGTTTAAGTGTCACAGTATATGACGCTAGTGAGGAAGCATACATAGTGGGTAGAATACCTACATGTAATCCAGCCCTCGTTACTGTCATTAATTACACCTGTGCTGTCAAACTACAAAGTAGACTGAGTTTATTATCTCCTTTATGTTATTCCTAATAGTGTGTGCATGTTGTCTACCTTCAGAAGAGAGCCCAGGCTATACTTCTGGATGACACTCACCCACTTCACACACTTCCCACTTCAGTTCCAGACACTCCCCTCAGGTACCCATTTTAGGGTACCACAGACCAGAACCAATAGATTTAAATTTTCATTCGTGTCAGTTGCAGTTAATCTCCTAAATAAGCTGCGCTTTACTTAACCGAAATAGACACAATGCACTTTCCACTTCAATGCAATTTTACTTTTTTTAACATGATGTAATGTCTATATGTCTGCAAATCTTATTCTTAATATTTTTAGTCTTGTGTTTGATGTACCGTCAGATATTGTTTTATGTACTGTCCTTTGTGTTGTTTAAATTGTTGTCTTTGGCCTGCAAGACCATTTGCCCTCTGGGATTTTAATAAAGTTGAAGTTGAAGACAAACATTTGTTGCAATTTAAAAGAAAAAATGCTGTTTTGGTTTTCTTTTGTAAACGTAACAATTTGATTCTCACACATGCATGTTGCAGCTCCCTATCACTAATTGCTACAACCGTATCACCATGCAGAGGGCACTATGGACGAGATGTGAACATTTTGCTCCTCCTCGGCTAAGTTTTAACATTAGCAAGCTTTGTGTTGCTAGGTAAACTTCCTTCACCCCTGATGATTTGATTGGCAGGTGTACTTAGGTAGAAAGAAAATAGTTCCTACATGAAACTGCCCACAACAAGGCCTGTGGGTTATCTTGAATAACTCATCATATTTTTTAGAAAGAGACACTGGTGTTGAGTATTTCAAACATATTTTTTGGCGCTTTGAGCACCACAAGCCGAGGGCCATCTAGTTCCATTATATTGGAGAGGAGGCAGATGTCTTTACGGACGATATCTCCAAAACTTGGCAACTCACATCAAAACAACCTAGCTTGATAAACAGCACTAAAGGTAAGAGGAAAAATGTGTGTTTTTGATTTAGGGGTGAACTGTCCCTTTAAATTATATGTAGGTCATGGGAACTACTTATTTGCTTTTAAAAACATTTGCTCTCTTGTGCTGCACAGAAAGTGATATTATACATTTTGTATTTTTTTGAATATAAACCTGGATAGTTAGCATGAGCACAGAGCCTTCCTAAGACCCCAACCAGAATTTCAACCATTTGAATAACATCTATATATAACACTGCATACAGTATACTTTGTATAATATAGAAAAACATTTAACATTTAACATTTTCAACACCCCACAGTATGACAATAATCAGCAGTACTGTTTCATGAAATTATTTTTTCCAAAAAAAAAAAAAAAGTTGTGTCTCAGTTTTATGGAAAAGTCCCTCTGCAGTACTGACATTAGCCACCAGGTGTCAGACTTTCATCACATTCAAACTCTTTCTCTCAGCTTGTATGAAGAACAGCAAGAGGATTTAATGACTGATGCTTACTTGTGAATTTATACAAAACTATTAACCAACAAAACTCCAAATATCTTCCACTTTAATACATAAAGCAAAAAAAGAAGGCCAATTAATCAGAGACAGATGATGATTTCATCCTTCAGATGATGCTCTCAGAGATGAGCATTTGCAGGCCGTAAAGCACAACAGCTGTCCAGGACAGAAACTGGAAAA